AAACATATTAGAACAATTTTTTTTAAATAATTTAGTTATACACACACATACAATATATATATTTATGTATTTATAATAACATACTATATGTGTGTGTATGTGTGTGTGTGGTGTGTATGTGTGTGTGTGTGTGTGTGTGTGTGTGTGTAACATGTTACGATAGTTATACAGATTATATGAATATAAATATTCATTAAGAATCACAGATGTACATATCCCTTATTACATACTAAACTAAATGCTGAAACTGATTCAACAATTTTCTCTGCTGAATAATCAAAACTTTCTAAAAAAAAATATCAAATAAGGTTAAAGTCAATTTTGCCAGATGAGGCCAAATCTTATAAAAAGCGGTAAACTTGTTATTCGCGGCACGAATAAAGCTGAAGGCTCACGTTGTGCTTTGTTTTTCGTCTGCTTTGCGTTGCATTTGTCAGGGTGGAAGGTATCGTGGGTTATCATAGTAGTCATCACAGTTGTTAAACCGTATTTATGTTAATTCTGTAGCTGTTGTTGCATTTGGACGCGCTACAGAAGAAAAGGAACAGCAGATTTAATTTTTTTTTATATGAACCGTAAAACAGCTTTGAATTTTAAAATTTTTGATATTTTATTAATTGTCTGTTTGAATATCAATAACGTATTTGACAAAATTTTAAAAAACTCTAGTGCTGTTCGCTTTTAATCAGTAACTGTGGAGTACTCGTTTATACGCAAGAGTAATAATGATAAGATCATGCAGTGTCATGCAAAGTGTTGGTGTATTTATTTATTTGAAAGTCAAACGTCAAAGCTCTCTGTACTAATTAATCATGTGATTTTAACCATTAATTACACAAAACATATTTTTTGTCTAAATTGCTTATAAAATATTTCAAAATAATTATTTTAAAGTTTTATTTTTTTAAATTATAACATAAGTTGTATAAAGATACAGAAATTATATAAAGAAAATATTTATAGATAAAATCGGTAAAGAACCTTATTAGTGAAATATCTTCTTGTTTAAAAAAATATAATTATACAAAGTAATAAATATAATAAATAATTACATAAATAAGACTATCCTCTTTTATTCCTTTTAAGAGGTATATAAAATATACAAAGATGGCAAGTAATATATTTCTTGTAACACCATTACCATTATTTTTTTATACTGCCATTACTTTTTTATAATAACGATTTGATAATAAAGTTACAATTTTTTATGATAGAAAGTAACTCATTACTTGAAGAAAATAATTCGTTACTTTACTTGTTATGTAGTGTTACATAATAACTTTCTTCAAGTAATGAATTATTCTCACTTTTTAATGAAAAACGCGTAATGGTAACGAGTTATTTTTAAATTGATTGTTCAAACCCTGGTTATCTTTATGCAAACAAAAAATGTTTAAGTATAAAAATATAAGTTTAAGTTTAAAAATGGTTTGCGTTGACTTTCTATAAATTGTACAACCTTACAAATGCTACAATCCATGCAATCAACTTCATTTTTGTCTACGTGCGACTTGTTTTTTCTTAGTGTGTTCTGAAATTATATTAATATAATATTATAATGTATCAATACATTATTAAAATAATATGATCTAGGCTTTTATGTGTGTGCCTAATTTCAGAACATTTCTAGTAAATTTTTGGACTATAGAACTTTTATGCAAATTTACAGTTGTTAGAATCTCTAAGTTTTCAAATTTATTGAATTTCTCTCTAATTTTTAAATTATTTTTCTAAACGTAAATCTTCTTTATATTTTGAATTTTTTAAATTTATTTCAATCTTTGTTAAACTTATTATTAAAAAATTCAAAATGGTTTACTTTTTTATTTCATATTTTTACAACAAACATTTGTATATAGTGTGAAATGGATTTTAATTACTTTATTATTCAATCTTTATACTTTCTGTCTAATTTACAAATTTTCTAAGATTTTCCAGACAAGACATTTTTTAAGAAATAGAAAAACTTGCGCATGTATAACCAAATAACTTCCAGAACTTGAGAAAAATCATCCTCGCTGTTTGTCGGTGGCTTATCTTTGTGTCTGTCAGCTTTGTTTGTGCATGCTGTAACCATGCCTTCTAAAATAGAATAATTTTCTATTGTACAAGCTCGCCTTCTATTGTAAATTCATTTATCTCCCATCTTTCTCATATAAAAATGTTTTTCCTAGAATTACTAAAATATATCTACGAAATTATAGAGTAAAAGGAATGATAGAAGAATGCAAAAAATAAAAAATCAGTCTGTGTGAAAGAAAGACAGAGAGAGAGGGAGAGAGAGAAAGAGAGATGAAGAAAGAGAAAGAGAGAGAAAGAGAAAAAAGGTGATGTAATAAAGAATAATGACAAGGAAAATCATAATTAGATATAATCGAGAAAGCTACTACTTTCTACTAAATCGGTTGAATTGTACGACGAATGAACGCCATTTGTCACTATAATGTCAAATCACTAATGTAAAATGACCAATATTATCATATAAACATTATTTTATGAATGCATGGTATGTTATTAGTATTATTATGTAAATTTTTTAATTTTTTAATCTATCGTATAGAATAGTACATTATACTAACTATATAATTTAATTAATTATATAATTATACTAACTGTATAATTCTACAGAAATTGATATACATAGTAAAGCAATAATTTTGTCCATCTATATATTACTAATATTCTTGGAGATATGAAAATATTTTTGTTATAAAATTAATAAATTACATGAATTTCGGGACTATGGGCTTTAGATTTTGTATGTAGAAAGTTTTTGTTTTTTTACTATTTTTTGTTAATACTCACTCCATCTAAAAAATAAAAATTTCTGATATCTTTGATTGCTAAGGCTGGGTCCACAGTCTCGCTTTAAGAGGCCCTAAGCCGTAAAGCCGTAAGAAATTGACCAATCATAGTAGATTATTTTTCTCACATTCAACTATGATTGGTCAATTTCTTACGGCTTTACGGCTTACGGCCTCTTAAAGCAAGGTTGTGGACCCAGCCTAACGTTTTTTACATAATACGTACAATCGGCGTTCATACCTCGTCTAATTTTGTTGTGCTTCTTTATAAGTTTTTGCATCAAACGAAACTCGACCAGTCGCGTCGAACATTGTCGCATTAGAATAAAACGAATAACACAGTGAGGTGCATTATTGTGAGAAGAATTCAAAAGCTAGAGTATCCACATTTGTTTCTTCTCTTATCGTAATATTGAGATAAATGGCTAAATCATCATCGATGTTTCTGGACGACAGTCGAGTACATGCAACCCGTTAACACTAAGGAAGAAGTTTATATCATATTCTACTTGTTAATTTAAAACTATGTATTGTATCACTTTCTAAAATTTAAGAATATTTAAAAATAAGCAGTAAATATTTACAATCAATTATAATTAATTTTAACAAATAATTTGCAATATATTTGTATGCAATGTATGTCAAACAATATTATAAATATAATTAAATTTTCTAAATGAAATTATTGCATTAAATCAATTTTGCTAAAAATATGGCTTTTATCATTCAAACTTAGATTATTTAGATCACGTAATTTAACTCTATTTAAGATTTAGCTTACTTTTCAATAAAATTCCTTCCTCAGGGTTTATATTACTAATAATGTGATACTAGCCGTGCTTGCTCGAAGAGCAACTAATAGAGAACCCGGACTCGCCCCGTAAATGTTAGAGATGTCGAATTAGATAGTTGGGATGATTTCTACACGAGAAACGCCTAAGTACTATCGATGCTGTCTAAGGCCAATGATCGGAACGAACGATACTCTCAAATTGGGCAAATCTCGCTATGGAAAACAAAATGAAATTTTCTATTACAGTTACAGCAATTAACAATTATCTAATCTTATTCCAAGATAAGTTTATCATAACATTTATTATTAATGTTATTTAATAACATTAATAATTTTTTTAACTTTCTTTTATCTTTCATTTTAAAGTATCAGATACGCGAGGCCTATCCTTCTTATTTAGTCAATTACATTATACTAGATTAATGTCGTAATTTCATACAACTATGGTTCAAAATCATGCCACAACTATGCGGAAAAACAAAATAAACAGACCAAAGTTCCAATACCATAACTATAATGTCATTCAATCTATGCTCTATTTAGTACATAAATAGTTTGCCAGATGTACACATTTCAAATATCGGTTTAGATCATATACGTTATGGCGTAGAATCATAGTTGTGTGTAATTACAGTGCCTAAAAAAACTGCTATCCAAAATTAGCAAAATTAAATATTTAAAGGATTTAAATATTTACAATGAAAAATATTTAATAATGTGATATTGTTACGTTATTTTAACAGAATATACATGTATTATTTCATTGTTAAAATTAATTATATTATGCTACTGCGTTTAAGTACTTATAAAGCAGCCTTTAATGTGCATTAATCCTGTGTACTACAAGTGACCGAATTCACCATTATATATTATGTTTACTTCAAAGAGTCTGTTTTTTGAGGGAAACATAAATTAATTAATAAAATTAATTTGAGCGGCCTTATAATGAATAATAAATTTTTTTACGAAAATACACGAATATACTATATCTCACTTGTGCAGACGTCTATTTATACTATATATATTTCTTTTCAGCTTTTACCAAATGGATCTTATAACATTATCTCATCTTTTATTATGCATACGGTATCTATTATTAGATATGCAAAATTTTGATAAAATTTTTATATTATACAAATTTATTCAATTTTTATGCGATCTAATGGATCAATAATATATATATATGCACTTGAAAGAGGCACAAAGTTAATGATAATAATACATGTCAATCGTCTATACGCTTCTGACTTTCTTCATCTCAAAGGATTTAGTCTTCGAGAACGAAATCAGCCTTAATCGTTCGTTCCGACGATTGGTCATGTTGTCGGTTTGTCGACTCGCTAAAATTTCTACAAAGGATATGATTGGACACCACTGCGATGGGTGGATCGAATTAATTGATGTTATACGATATGATTATTGCAACGTTCTACAAAGCAAGCGGAGGTTCCTAAGATTGCCGAACGCAGAATAAGGATGGTTGACAGGATTAGTAGGAGTACGGGATTCGAGCGCGAGGTCGGGGGTACACGATTGCACATATCCTCCTCACAGAAGCACATGTGACCAGTGCCGGTACTTTCCATCATGCACACGTGGTCCACCATGAATAAGTTTATTTGTAGCTGCGCGGTGCAGGTTCTTCTTACACTTTCGTACGCTGTAAGCCAAAGGGAATAATAAGCTATAAGTAAGTTTCTGATGATTGTTAAAGTTTATCTAATTCATATTTATTACTTTATATTTATAACTATATATTATCTCTAATAAAGTCGATCAAAATACATGCTCTTATAATTATTATTTAATATGTGTGTAACTATTTACCATAATATCATAATTTACTAACAAGAAACGTTCACTACATGTAAAATTAAAGAAAAAATCTGAATTTTAGTATAGACTTTTCATAAGTACATAGAGTAAATGGATTTTATTACGAAATAGTTTTTAATGTTTTTATTGTGGCTGATAAACAAAATTTATAAATGAAATTATTTTCCTGAAGAAAAATCAGTTTTTATGTTTCTAAGTGACTGTTTCTAAATAATTTGCTTTGATTGCATCAAAATAATAAGAAATACAAAAATATTATTCCCGTAATCTCGTAGGTCAGGGACACCTATATAACTTTTGAGCGAAACACTTTTTTGTATTTCTTATTATTTTGTGTAATTTTTGCAATACCTTAGGACAGAGATACGCAACTGACAGCCCGCGTAGACCGAATCCGGCCATCAATATCCAAGTTTGAACCCGCAAAACAAAAACGAAAAATAAACTGAATTAGTGCATAATGCTAAATGAACTTTTGATATATCAGTGATTGCAATTGATATTGGGATCGAAATTTACGTATCGTATTAGAATCAAAATAGCCACCATCGGTGGCGAGTAACATAACGAAATTAAAAGAAATTAAATTAGTAGCAATAATAAGCTAGCAAAACGATCGCACAATCGAAGTTGGCAACACTTTTCAAAAATATAGTACACAGATGAGATGATACAACACCCAACGAAACACTTCCGTCCTGTTCGAGTGGTCTCAACGGATTTTACACATCATATGTATGCAATTCTTATTGGACGAATCAACGCGCCGCCAGTGGAGATGGGGGGATGAGAATAATTATGGATAATTCGAAGAAGACCATACGCGTACGGCAATGAGTGACAGCCCTTGAAATCTTCCCCATCACAGCCCACGTGATCATGAGTTACGTGAACCATAGTAGTTCTCTTCTTTCTCTTCGTGATAAAAATATCAACAAAATTACCTTTTTAAAAAAAGGGAAGAAAGGCGCCAAGTGTGCGCGTTTGCCTCACAAAAAACCGTTACATATGTTATTACAGTATACAAAAAATAAAATGAAATCTTTAAATTGCATTTATAATATATATACACATATTATATTATATGTATACATATACGTTATTCTTATTATATTCTTTTTAGACACGTATTTTTGAGATAATTTTATGATGAAAATTTTAATATAAAAATGTCGAGGCTATAATAGTTTTTAAATTAATCGCAATTAAATTTCGCTAATCATAGAGTTGACATTTCGCGCACTCAGGTATGATGATACGTCAAGTGGTGAATGTACCACGAGGGCCCCCTTAACATGTAATATTTTTCATAAAGTTGTTTGAAAAAAAATATTTGTACATTTTTAATTTTTAATTATACACACATGTTCATAATTAATATGCATAATTAATATCGGAATAGTATTATATATCGTATAATACTATTTTATTAGCAAGATATTACAAAATATATCAACTGTTAAAATAAATTCATAACTATATGTTCATTTATCTCGTATAGTAAACATTTGTATTTACATCGATACAAGAGATAGATAATATAATTTATTGGCCAACCTTGCAAAATAAGATATGCTAACGAGTGCCATCTGACGTTTAAAATGTGAATTGGACAACATTCTGAGGATAATGATATCTAATAATGACGTATTTTGACGTTAAAATTTTACGATTCGGACTTCACATTGTAATATCTCCATTCGTAGGGTATGTAAGCAATAAAAAACAATTTTATTATAAAATTCAAACTTCTGAGTAAATTGAAAATACTGAGAAGTCGATTAATTCAGCCGTTTATTGTGAGATCCGATAACCTTGGGTTACTCGATCGGAACTCACGGACTCGATACGGTCTAACTTTGCGTTCACTTGGCGCTAGACCTACACTACCGTATCTCTTGATAATACTACTATATACATATACACGTATATGTTTTTTTTATTTTCTATGTTATTTTATTTTATTTTTTATGTCGAATATATGGAAGGATGAAAATCATAGTGGTATAAATCACTTAATTACAACTTCGTAAAACAAAAGGTTTCTTCTATATTGGTCCAATTGTTTTAGTAGATTGCACCAATCTTAGCAATCTTTGAGTTGAAAAAAGATTTTAAATTATTAAAGAAAAGATATGTGGTAGGGATATTTTAAAAATTTTATGTGTTTTTCGAAATATCTAGTCATGTTATTACAAATGCTTTTAAAATTATAAAACTTTTATTCAAAATATTTTCTGTATTTTTTTTGTTTTGGCGAAGTTTGCTTAGAAACAAAAAAACCGATATTTTTCAAGAGAATCAGCCAACAAGAAATGAATTCGTCATTAGATTTATATTTGAGTCTACTTTATATACATGCAAATTTCAGTTCTTTTTATTTTATACTTGCCAGATTTCTCTTGTGACATGTTTGAATGTCGTTAAATTATTTTTAAAAGGTTTCTTTAAATTTAATCAGCTATGATGTAATCTGAGTGAAGAAAAATTTAATAGACTTTTTAATTATCTTTAAATAACGGTGGATTTCTTGTAATGAAGATAAATACTTACGTGATTTTGCGTTGCGAACCATTTTCACGCAGCATCCGTTACATGTCATCAATGGTGGCTGATCTCTGGGTAGTGCTGTATAGTTGAAAGGATCCTTGCATCTGAGATCCGTCCATGAATCGCATTCGTAGCAGTAAATAGAACGAGCTGTGAAACAGATGCCCGTTCAAAGATCGTGTTTTCTTTCTATCGCACTTGGGAAAAGATGTAGGAAGTTAAAAAATATGATAATCTTTCTACATTAGACACTTATTTTAATAATGTTAAATTCCTGTTTTCATTTAATGTTAAACACGACTCTGTGACATTTTTTGTTATAAAAAATAATTAATAATTATTAATAATAATGAATAATAATGAATAATAATGAATAATAATGAATAATAATTTAATCAAATGTGATGTATATATAGAGTGAATATTATAAAAATATTTGTAAATAAGTTTTTAATTAACAAGCTGTATATAGCTTTTTGTTATACATACAAACACACGCACATATATAATATACATACATGCATGTACATATATGAAATATATATATATATAAGAATTGCACAATTTCCCGAGTGCACACTTTTTTATGTAAGGTTTTATGTATCGATGAGCGTGCATGAGTTCTAAAAGTGAAATATTTAATATACCATTCACTTTCATGGCATGATAGATAATACACTTCGGTAATGTGGCTATGTTCGATGAAATTGGATGAGAATAAGATTAATTTGTATTAATTGCTGTGCGGCATTTAACAATTTACAAAGATCTGTTATAATTTATTAAAAAATTTTACATTTAATTATTGAAATATAATAACTGTATGTTTCATCAAGCAAAATGTTTTTTTTTTTATACAATTTTTGTCCAGTTCGGAGCAAGAGCAATCTCGATCGAATAACTCTCGTTGGAGAACACTTTTTCACCCTGGGGTGAACATTCTGACAAAATAGAGTCACTTGGCCGCGGACGCATTGAGCTTCATCGAACTTCATACAGTCCCTAGCAAACGATAACACGGTACGGGCATACCGAGGAGAGTAAGCTGGCTTAATCACTCACTCTGGCACTCCGCATGACAGACGGTGGCAACCGCGAGTACAATTGCCGCTGAAAACGAAAGATTCGTTACTGCTTTAGGCAATGTTTGTTGGCATTACGCGCAGGTAGCTAGCTTAAGTAACTTGGTGTGATCTGTGGTAACGCAAGCAACAGGACTAACGCTATTATAACGACTACGGTGACTGTGACTATCATTACAATCTCTACTGTCTCCATAGCGCGGCTCTAGTATATAATGATGTTGGGAACTGCTGATAATTGTGCTAGCTAATAATGATCTGATTGATCAAAGAGAGTTCGTGCGGCAGTCAGTCCATATTTTTCTATTTGCTGAATGTTTCTAATCTTTTTGCGCTTTTACTCCAGTGGGATATTGTGAGGTATACATGTGAGGATTGGAAACAAAGCATAGAATACAGAGGTATAGGATGTAAAATTGCCATTCATGCGATGTAAACATTTAAAAAGAACATAGTATAGAAAATATATAATAGTAAATGACAATATATCTAAGATCTAATTTAGAAATTAAACTTGATCGTACATAATTTTAAAAGTCTTGAGACGTATGTTAAATTACAAGATGTATTATATATTATTATAAATATATTTAAAAATTTTTAAAAGTGCTCCATATACGCGTTCCTTCCGCATAGTTTCGAAGATTATTAAAAACAAAAAATGTCCCTATACTGTTACTTTTAAGGGCGTTTTACCCTCTAAATTTTGAAATACGCCACTAAAAAAATATGAGTCTAGTATTTTTTCATGCTTTACAACATATCCAAAACTCATTAAAATCCATTATTTTTGAGGTTTTAGAATCCTTCAATTCGAGTGGAAAACTAATGAGCGGCATTTTAAGCTCTAACAAATGCATTGTCGCTAGGAAAAGTCGTTCTCACAGTCGCATACATACTGATTGCATTCAATCGTTAGTGTAAAATTAAATTTATTAATAATAAAATTTGTAATGGCTCTGAATGAATTACATCAATGCAAAATAAGAAGCAAACCAATATGAGATAACGCTGGTTGTTGTTGCGATTCAATTTATTACATAACAATACAAAACGATTAATTATAAGGTCCTCCTCAGTAAATACATCAAATTATAATTATATATGTATATTACCAAATATCGGTAATCACAAACATTTTTTCTCTAAATAGTAAATATGTCATGATTAAATTAGTTATTTAATTTATGACAAGATCTCCGTGTTATTGTTCGTTATAATTTTATCTCACTCGACCTATGACTGGCGTACACAACACATCACATTTATTATTAATCGTTTTGTATTGTTATGTAATAAATTGAATCGCAACAATAATCAGCGTCGGCTCATATTGGCTTTCTTCTTATTTTGCATTAAATTTACATGTAATATTTAGAATAATTATTAGAAAATACATTGCGTTAGACGATTGAATGATAATAATTTTTATTTAATAAAAAAATATAATCGTAAAAAAGTGAAATAAGAAAATATAATCGTAAAGTGTGAACTTTGCTGACGCTCTATGTTTTTCCGTTACATAATATTTCTTATCTTTTTATCTGATGAGATCTGACAAATCATTAAAAATACGTTAGAAAATTATACAGAAAATTGTTCTACCTATGTTATAAGTCCGGATGCTTGAACAATTGAAGTCAATAATAAACGTTAGAAAGAGATTATGGTTGTCCATTTTGTAAATTGTTTGTCAGTCAAAAGTTGTAATGATAAAACCGTGAAACAATATTATCTAAAAAGCACCGCAGTATAAGGAAAACCACAATGAAATTATAATGTCGTACAAAGAACAACAATTAAAATAATGATACAAAATGATTTAAAAACAAATTTAATTATTGGTCCTTATGACGATATTATTTCAAATCATTTTTTTTTTTAAATCATTTAAAAGATATGTACGAATATACAAAAATACAGAACGAAGTAGAAAAGAAATGGAAAAGGTACGAGTAGAGTGCAATAGTATAAAAATATAGGTAAACTAAAGATAATAAAAGTAAATGCTCTTTTAAATATAAATATATACAGAAATATAAAACTATTACATTTTGTAAGTTTCTTCGTAAATGAAACATTTAGCAATAATTGTCTATCTATCAATGAACCAAAACAATTTGGAGATGACTGACGCACTTTTTTGAAAATACTTTTGCATTTGACTTGAAATACAGAGAACTTAAATTTTTTAAATATAATTAAATAAAATTTGAAGTCAAAATTATTGACATGTTAATTTGTTAACAATTTCTATTATATATAAAATGATGAGTGTATAACATCAACCTCTGTACATCCTTATTCTACAGTCCTTTGTATTTCTCAAATGTAATTTTTCTTCATGAATCTTACGTACGTACATGTCCACGTACCTAGCAGCATGGAAGCAGCGGCCGTACGCGTGTTGATTGATCTAATATATAACACCTATGATTTCTAGATCGTAATAAAACTCAGTAATTGCAAGATCGTGACCGATTGAGACGATTATATTTTTATGCTAATGAATATTTTGACGAATTATAAGCCACGATTATATTAAATTATGCATTAAAACATTTACGCTCAAAATTGCTTTTACATTAAAAAACAGATGTTAAATCATCAAACTCTAGATATATATGTGTATATATATAAGGATTTTTAGAATATATTAATTTTTCTATCCAAATTTCAAATAACAGGATTATAATAATTGTTTCAATTTTAAAAAGTAAAATTAAATGTTCTATATATGATTAATAATTGTGCAAAAGAGAAGCCTATTTCAGTTCAACAATATTATATCTTCTTAAAATATAGAAGAACTTTTTGGAATTAAATAGAAAGCTCATTAAGAACGCACGCAAACTCACCCACTATCAACTGATTCGTCCACATGTTGATAGCGGCAGGATCTCCTTATTCTTTGCTTAGCTTCGCGTCATGACGAGACTTCCTTGAACATCGAATAGAGTGTAACGCCTGATTAGCGCGAACTGATCTAACTGTATATTTCAAGCTGAATATTCCCTGAAATTATAAATCAATTTTTAAATTAAAATTAGGATAGATTTTTAAAGATGCATAGATCAAACTTAATTGTAGTATCATTTATAACAAATATTTTTAAAAATATCAAAACATAACAGGACTACGAGTCATGAAAGTAAAACAAATCAATTTAAATATAAGAATTTAATAGCATATTATATGAAAAACAAATTAAACAATGAAATATTTTTCATTAATTCCGCTTTAAGCTGCTCGAAAAACAAAAGCAGCTATAAAATTATATACAATTAAAATTACATAATTAAAGTAAGTGAAAAAGTTAGATTAATTTTTTATATTTAGCTACTTTCTTTAAATTTTAATATACAGGGTGATCCGAAATTCGCGGATACGGAGTACAGGACATAATACTTTATGCTAAAACAAACAACTTTTTCCTTTAGCAAAATTGTGTCCGACAAATAGTTTTTGCATGAGAGCTTCTTGAAATTAACGAATAAGCACTCGTATCCATGCAGCGCTCAGGGCCAGCGCGCGCGCCTCACTTGCGTGTACCTAGTCCGTGACTAGTATTCATAAATGATGTCTTTTAAGACGCTCATACGGCTCTGTTATGATTAGTTTACGACATCTTAAGACTGTACTTAAGATATCTTATCTTAAATAATAAGCAAAAGCTATGAACAATATCGGCATTTGACCATTTTTCATATTGTGTTGCATAAATGATGAAAAGTTAATGAAATAAATACTGCCTTTATTTCTTACGTAATACATGAATAAAAAATTGTCTGCTTGCAGACAATTAAATTAATTTTTAAATTAATTAGCTAATTAATTTAAAAATTAATTTAATTGTCTGCAAGCAGACAATTTTTTATTCATGTATTACGTAAGAAATAAAGGCAGTATTTATTTCATTAACTTTTCATCATTTATGCAACACAATATGAAAAATGGTCAAATGCCGATATTGTTCATAGCTTTTGCTTATTATTTAAGATAAGATATCTTAAGTACAGTCTTAAGATGTCGTAAACTAATCATAACAGAGCCGTATGAGCGTCTTAAAAGACATCATTTATGAATACTAGTCACGGACTAGGTACACGCAAGTGAGGCGCGCGCGCCGGCCCTGAGCGCTGCATGGATCCGAGTGCTTATTCGTTAATTTCAAGAAGCTCTCATGCAAAAACTATTTGTCGGACGCAATTTTGCTAAAGGAAAAAGTTGATTGTTTTAGCATAAAGTATCATGTCCTGTACTCCGTATCCGCGAATTTCGGATCACCCTGTAGTTTTAATAATAAGTTTTATAACTGTAATAATACTTATAACAAATTGTAATTACATTCAGATAATTTGTTTTATAAATTTTTTAAGTAAACTTTTTTATAATATGGTAAATATTTTACTCTAATTATATATTTTTTTGAAATTTTCCGATATTTATTTTAATTAGATACTGCAAAATATTTTGTTCATTTTGTTGATAACATTAAATTAATGTTAAATAAAAATTAGTTATTTTGTTGATAACATTAAATTAATGTTAAATAAAAATTAGTTAAATAAATATCAGTTTTTTCAACTTTTGATGTATTAATTGATGTTGATATTCGAACACTATAAATGTATACTTACTCATTCTAAGTTTATATAGTAACGCATGCCTATTTGAGAACTGTCACATAAAAAAACGCTTAATTTAAGGCACTTAACATAACAGCTCATTGTCAGTGACATAAATGCGCACTAAATCATTTGACTGATTATGGAACTGAATATCATGATATTATGGTAATAATAAATTATATTAATTAGTCACATTTAGTTGTAACGTTAAATATTTATATCCTAAAAGACTCTATACTTAAATTTTGGTATTAATTACTTAATATTATTTATAAACTATATTAATTAGTATATTCTAAAATATAAGATTTTTTTTCATATACCTTTGAAATAAATGTGTGATTACATATACATTATAAAAAAAAATGTGAATTAAGAGAAGAGTAATAACAATGTTATTACATGCATGTGTACAAAAACAGTTATGTAATCGTGATTGTTGGAATAATAAAGAAGCTATAAAAATATTTTTTATATTTTTATTTATTTTAATGCTTCTAAATGATCAAAATACTCTACTTTTTTCTATTAAAAAAAATAAATATATATTAAGATATTAGTTACAATACACACACACATACATATTAACATTTTTTGTGTTAAGTACTCATTATTTTTTATTCAATATCAAGGATTGCTGAGTATTCTTCAAATTAACAATTTTTTAATTTTTCAAATTTAAAAAATATCCTAATATAGAATGGCTCAAATAATTAAATTAAATAAAAGTATGTTGAAGAAGGCTACAAAACCTATTGTCTTTGGTTCGTATAAGCCCTTCTCAACATACATTTTTTTCAAATTTAATTCAATAAACTAAAATTCTTTGTATTTTATGTATTATATATTTGTATGCAAATATATAATATTATTATATCTAGATATTATTTTACGTTAACAACAATTCAATTGAAAAATATTTAACCAACTACGTACATTGAAATATGAAGTAAAACTGCACAAAATTTGAAATACTTGAATCTACGAAACAAATCGAAGCAGGTTTAACACATTCCTATGCCTAATCATTCACGAATCCCACATACTTATATTGAACCACGGAATCTGGAAGGGTTGATTTTCTTGTGACAATGCTGACGTTCTGTTGTTAAAGGCTGTCTGGAAAACAAAATCTAATTTTTTAAACGAATTATTATCATTCCTCTCGTGTCGTGATTTCAGATTTGACTGTCGACTTTCTAACGCAATCCGTCATTGCTGTGCTTATACCTCTTTTTAGCTCAGACACCCTAGCGTATTTATCGACGAGTCTACATCACCGATGCATAGCGACGGCGAAACGCACATAACGAGGTTACAAGGATATGCAGCACGATGCAGTTCGCGAAATGCCACGATGCGAATATGCGGTTGCGATTACCCCGTAAATGCAGCGTACAAGTGCTTTCAGGGTACTGGCAAGCGCGCCAGTCAACGCGCCGACCGGAGCATAGATTCAGGTCGATCAATATGACGCTGTCGGCCAGTCTGTACCACGTGCTCACGTTGCGGCAATTGTACCGACAAAGTTGCTGTTACTGCTCCTCGACAAAGGCTTGTAAAGAGTTTTAGCTGATAACATTCAACGTGAAGCTTTATTTGAAACAGAAGCAAATATTCAATCAATTGATGTTAAAATAATCAAAGAAAATAACTATAATAACAACTATCTACATCGAGATCGGTCCATTGAGACATAACGCTTGCGCACTAAAATGTTCTGCAAAGCTGCTAAATGGAAATAATTAGTGATAATTAGAAATTTCCTTTTTGATTAAATACTACATTATATACATCGACGTAATGAGCAATCCAATCGGAGTTTGATTATTTTTCGTTCTTTTAATATCCTGATTCTTCGAATAGAAACTACGGACTGAATACTAACAATGCGTTCGGAGGGACGCTATAGTGCTATTTGTGTTAGTCTATCTTCATCATTTATTAAATGTAAAACATGGACAGAATGACACTAAATAATGCTAATAGCCTGAGACAAATTCTAGGAGGTGTGGATAATTTTAGAACATTAATTACTTGAACGAAAGATCAACTGTAGTCTTTGTAATACCCACTGACTATATCTTTAGTGTTATACGTGATGTGTAACGCAATTCTTGCCGTAGTTATATTTTGTATGTTTTCGAACGGTATCGCAAATATTTACAGATAAAGTTTCATTTGACTTTAGAATTATTTCTAAAGGTTTGTGACGATGATACAGATCCTCATGAGAAAAAGAATTGTGAAATCTACAGAATGTAACATATATAATATTTACATATGCACTGCATTTTAATATACTTTTAAGATTTTTAGAATACAACGAAGGAATGAAGTATACATATGTACATTTATGCATAAATGATAATTAATAGGTTATTAAAAAAGCGTTTTATTATGTTGTGCATTTATTGAATTTTATACGTTTTTTTAACGTACACATTGCACTTTATAACTTTGACAATTACTACAACTGTTCTAACAACATAAACTACATAAATATTAAAAAGAAGGCGACTATTAATTATTTGCTAATTTTTAATATTTTTTTATTTATAGGATATTAATAGTATACAATTAATAATCTAATTTGTGTAAATAAAATTATTACAAACAAAAAATAAATTATATTTTTAAATAAAAATATAAATACATCAGTTGATAATCTTAACAAAGTGTATAAATATTTTATGCACTTATTAAAAAGTACAAGATTAATTTACATATAATAATTTTGTATTGTTCTAAAATTTGCTATGTTCTCAAATTTCGAAATTTATTTACCAAGATGATGTAATTTATTCACCATTCCACTTAACATTTAACTTAACTTGCTAACAATATATTGTGAAAATAATTTTAAATTGACCGATTTACTAAATAAGAATGGCTTCGAGTGCATACGCTCTTTAACTTATGAAGAATACATAATACTTTTGGACTAATTACTGACGTTTAGAGTAGTGACCACATTTTCTGCAGAGTTCTTCCTTGCCATCATCTTCTTTATTTCCTTTCATTGACTTCTCTTTCGAAATTCGGACAGGTACTAGATCGCCTGTATAAGGTCGATGTCCAATAGCAGCTATAGTTTCACTTCTAGGAAAGCCTACATCGGCCGAAGCAATCGTCACTATGTTATCGCCGTTATCTTTAGCACCAACATTGATGAACGAACCATTCGTCACTGTATAACTCGAATCGCTCTTCGAGACAGATGATTCCCTCTCAGTTGTTTCAGAATTATCAGAATCTTCCCAATTTTTATAAACAATTGATTTATCTAAAAACCATAAATTGCATA